ACCTATGAAATACTTTATAGGTTTAAACTTATACGTTCTGAAATTGATCTTCTTGTGACAGCACACAAAAATCAGCTTAATCACACTTACTCTAGTAATAATAATTGGGAAAGAATTAAAACTATAATCGATCTTCTTTATCCAGTTCTTGAAGCAACAGAATATCTTTCAGGTAGCTCATATCCAACGATCTTTGATGTTCGTTTGACTGTTGGTGGACTTATTCAGTATTTTGATTATTTTATTGATAACGGGTCACATTTGAATGAAGAGTATATAGTTGCAGACTCTATATGTTACAAATTAAATGAATACTGGTCTCTTCTTGATGAAAAAATTATAGTAGCTGCAATTCTTGACCCGTCATCAAAACTTAAACTTTTTACCTGGGGAAAAAAGAACTGCAGCTATTACTAGTTTGCGTCAAGAAATACTTCATTATAGGCTATTAACCTCAGTAGAAAATATCAACTTGATTGTCTCTAAAAATAAAAAAGCATATTTTGAATCCTTTTTTTAGAAGAACAAAAAACCGAACAACCACCAGAAGAAGAATTAGATTTATACTTATCTTTACCTATGTGCCAAACTAATCCGCTTAGTTGGTGGGAACAAAATGAGTATAGATTTCCAATTTTAGCAGTCATAGTATGAAACTATTTAGCTATTTAGGAAACAAGTGTTCCCTATGAAGAAGCTTTTTCTGTAGCAGCGGAAACAATTACAAAAGTTCGTAGTTGTCTTCTTTCTGAAACTGCTCAGGCATTGCTTTGTCTGAAAAGCTGGATGAAACAAAACATTAGAATATAGATAGAAAAAGCTATTACAAATTTAGTATTGATAAAGTTTTAAATTATAAAGGTAGATAGCAATATTAGCATTAGTATATGAGTGCATGAGAGTGAAAACCTGGAAACGATCATAGTAAATTATTAAATCAGCTTCCAGGTTTTCACTCTTATACACTCATATATATAATTATCAGTATTAGTATTAATTATAAGTGTATATTGATATATATAGTATAGAATAATTGTACAAAATTTGAAATACATATGTATGTACCTGAAATAGATCCAAAAAGCTATGTATTTTATCTTTTTTTAGCAGTT